CCTGTGTTTGGTCCTCAGCTCCAGGAAAAAAAAAAAAAAAAAAGCCCGGGGTTCAATAGCTGGTACTGGGGGCGGAGGGGGGGGCACACTTAGTTCTGTAGCACCTTAATGCCACATGTGTGCTGCTCACTTGCTTGTGGGTGAGTGCCAGAGGTGGGAGTGAAGGCCACAGAAGCAGGGACATCCTCAGTGGAGTTCTTCACCAGCTTCAGTTCGCGAACATGAGTGCATGCAATGAGTGAGTGGCTGGATTATAACAAAGACCTGCAAGCTGCAGGGCCTGGTGGCTCACGCCCGTCATCACAGCCCCTGGGAGCCGAACACAAGCAGACCCGGGCTTTGAGGCTATCCTTGGCTTCATAACGTTGGAAGCCAGTCTGGGTGAGATGAAGCCCATCTTCTATAAATAAATAAATAAATCATACATACATGAACGAATGAACAAGCAAATAAATTATATATGTGTGTATATATATGCTTATATAATTTGTGTACATATAATACACACACACACACACACACACACACACACACACACACCTTGGAATACAATACAAAAAGAATCTAGGGCAATTGGGGAGAAGATCTTTTTGAGAAGCTGGCAACTGGGCTGGAGAGATGGCTCAGCCACAAAAGGCTAGGCTTGCAACCAAAAACCAAGAGAAGGTAGCATTCTAGGGGAGATTTGAAGGTTGACCTGCAAATAACTACTAGAAAGTTTTCCAGGGAGTGGAAACCATCAGTGCAAAGAACGTGGCATGCTCTTGGAAGGCAGCTGCTGGGGGTGGGTGGGTGGGTGGGTAGAGCAGGGCCAGGTGTTACAGGGCTTTTTGGCCCATGGGGTGGATTTTGGTTTTTGAGGTAAATGCATTGTATAACCATTGTGAAGTTTCCCCGGGGGACTGCCAGGATGTGGCAAGGCTCTGGCTTCTCATGGAGAAAGGGCAGGGGTGAGGTTGGCTGCAAGCAGATCTCTGGAAGTAGAGAGCAGGGGGGAGGAGGTGAGAGGCGGAGTGTGTAGAGGGTTGAGGGAGTTGGAGAAGTACGGACACCAGGACAGGGTGGAACTGAGGGACCGACCGACTGTGGGCTGGAGTAGGAGGGAAGAGGTTGAGTCACAGACTTTAGGTTTGGGGCTGAAGGGTCCGTCCCAGTACACATGATGGACAAAACAGTGTCCACACTGTCAAAGAAAGCCCCCAACTCACCATAGAGCCTCCAGGGACAGAGCAGCGAGAGCCCTGTGTGAACGGTGCTGTGCGCAGGTGTTGGAGACAGTGTCACAGAGGTTAACAGGTCAACTAGTTAGGCATGCTTTCTCTTTGTTTGTTTGTTTGTTTGGGGCTTTTGCTCTTGTTTTTCTGGTACACAGTCTCATGTGGCCCATGTTGTTCTTAAGAAAGCACAGACTGGCCTTGAACTCCTGTCTCTACCTCCTGGCCTTGAATTCCTCTGTCTTTACCTCCCGAGTGCTGAGATTTCAGGCACATGCCGCCATATTTGGTTTTAGCCTGGTTTTGAAGGTGCTCCCTGCAAGGTAACTCCGGGGGCCTTATGTCCCTGCTTCTGCTGAGTCAGCTTCTGATTGTCTTTGGCTCTTTCCTCACAGCTTGAAGCCTCAGTTGCCACAGCTGGAACATCTGCATTTGGGAAGAATGAAGTGAAGCTAGGCTGTAGTGGTGCAAACCTTTAACCCCAGCACTCGGGAGGGAGAAGCAGGTGGATCTCTGAGTTCAAGGCCAGCCTGGTCTACTGAGCGAGTTCCAGGACAGCCAGGGCTACACAGAGAAACCCTGCCTCAAAAATAAATAAATAAATAAATAAATAAATAAATAAATAAATAAATAAATAAATAAATAAATAATAAAGTAATAGGATGGACTGGACCAACCTAGCACAGTCTAGCTCATAGTAGGTGATTTTCATCAGAAAGACCAACACGGGCCTCTGTTCTTCCGTCTAAGTGTTATGATTACAGGCTTCTGGCTCATAGTAGGTACATAATGAGTTGTTGGTTTGTTTTTGTTTTCTGGAACTCTCTTTTTCCTCTATGTTCCCCACATAACAGCAGAATTGGTTATGGATGGTGTAGGGTGTGTTTGTAAGAAGAACTCATCATCTTTAATGGCCTCGGGCACCCAAACTACCTTTGCTGAGAGGACCAAAAATGTGCATTTTGTGATGACATTAAGAGAATGCAGGCCAGAGGTTAAGACGATGAGCTGGGGACCCCGTTAGGTATGGTGGAGGAGGGAGCCTAGCTGGGGTGGGCCTTCGACCTTCCTTAGTTGAGGGTGGACTGGGGAGGGGCTGCCTGGCATGATCTCAGCAGTCCAGGCTTCCCAGATCGGGAGCCCAGCTGAGAGCTGGGGGAGAGGCGAGAGGAGGAGAGGAGGAGACTGCCCGGGGCCCTGGGGGGACGAGGAAGGCTGAGGCTGCCAGGCTGCCAGCTGACCCTGTTATTTTTAGCTCTGGAATGTGCCTCCTGAGCCCCCTTTCCCCTTCTGTTTATCTTGCTTTTGAATCCGGATTCCCTCTGGCAAGTCTGTGTGGGGGAGGGAGTCGGGACCTGAGAGTGTCGCCTGGGGAAAGATAGAGAGACAAGGGAGACCAGTTGGGGTGAGCCCTGCTTCCCTTCCCCATCTGCAGTCCAGAGCTGAGCTGCTCCTTCCTTCTTCCCTTTTTATCTCTTACCTTCCTTTCCCTCTTTGGAGATGGACTTCACGGTCCTCCTGCCCCGGCCGCTAGCTAGAACAGTAGAGTTGCGGGCATGGGCTACACACAAGCCCAGGCTCTTCTCCTTGTGTTTTTTAGTTGAGGGAACGGAGACCGTCCTGCTCTGGGAAACCTTGGCTCTCAGTCAGTTGTGCTGTTTACCACCAGCTCAGGCCCGGGGCTATGCTCAGCCAGGCTCCCCATACCACTTCCAGCACCTCCCTGGCGAGGACACACTGTGGGCCCCTAGAAGAACAGCAGGACCCACTAGATGGGACACAGGTGTCTCGGAGTCTGCCCTCTCCTCTGTGAAGTTGAGACCAACACAAGAGATGCTGAACAGGGAGGTCTCTTGATGCTGGACCCTGCTCAATCAGTATCAGGCAGTTTAGCCACTAGGGTAAGTCACATGGCATTGGTGTCCATGGGTCCCGAGGGCCCTGAGTCTCCACAGGTTTTTGTGGTCACTTGAAAGAAGCCACACCTTTCTCAGAGGGCTGACTCAGTCAATGCCAGGCCTGGGAAGGCTCTCCCCTGGGATAACGGACCATCATTCACTGCTTTTCTTCCTATCCCCCTCCAGAAAGTCCGCACTAATGCTAGAAGTGAGGGATTTCTTTGGGGACTATTACCGCCTGTCCCCGGTCATAGACCGTAGATAGCAAGGGCACAGAGGCCCAGCTGGTGGAGGGCAGTGCTACTCGGATGCTCTCATGAGGACTTTCTCAGGGAGCCATGCTGTCTCCTCCTGTCCTCTCCTTCAAGCTGGCTGAGCGCCGGAACAGGCAGTCAGCACATACCTCGGTGTGCCCTGCTGTGGAGGGCACAATGGGAGGATTCTGACTGCTGATGTGGCCAATGTGTCAGTCCAGAGCTGGACACACACTCCAAACCCAGAAATGACCCCGAGGGCCCTGTGTGCTGTGGCGTGGGCATGCCCAGGCCAGATGTAGTAGAGGAGGGGGTGGGGGAAAGCCATCAGGACAACCTCTTGCCCCTGGGCATGGGGCCAGGGTCACTTAGAGGGAAAAAAGGTGGCAGCTGCCACATCCCGGGGAAGGCATTGACCTTTAGAACGGGAGACAGAAATAGCCCGGGGTGAGAGGGGGTGAGAGGGGGTGGGGGGCGGACATGCTCCTGTGTGGGAGAGAGGTCCAGCATGGCAGGGCAGAGCCAGCAGGGAAGAGCCACCTCAGCAGCTCTTGTGTGGGACACCCAGCCGGCGCAGCCACATGCCGCTTCCTCAGTTGTTCCACAGCAGAGGAAGCTGAGCCTTCTAGGATGGAAGACCAAGCCTGGAAGAGCAGAGCTGGACTGATCCAGACCTAGCTGGTCTGATCTAGCCCTTTGCTTCATGGCCACTGCCCTTCTGGGGTGCTCCTGGGGACACAGGATGGGGCCAACAGATGACTCTGTACTCAAGCCTGGCCCGACCTTCCTTAAGGGTGGAGGAACCCCAAAGTTCAAACACTGTGGTCTACCAGTGGAGCTAAGCTTTTTACCCCGAGATATGCTACCAATTTTCCTTCCCTCCCTTGCTCAGGAAAGAGGGAGGACAGGGGTTCTCCTGCCACCCCCACCCCCAAACACACACACACACACACACACACACACACACACACACACGAGTGTGCCATGCTCTCCCGACTGCACTGAGCCCTAGAAACCCTTCCCCAGAGGCTGTGGCAAGGACACACGAGGGGGATGGCCCTAGTTCAGGCTGATGTCTGGATAGTGCGAGAAACAGGCTCAAAATAACCCGTGAGGATGGGCTGGCTGGCTCCTTCCCTCCCCTGCGGCTCCCAGCCTCAGCAGCTCCAGCTGTTTCTGCTTATCTGAAGCCAGGGAGGCTGGTTGCCTGGATACCAGCGCTGCTGATTAGCAGTTGGGTCCTTCAGTGGCAGACAGAGATGCCGCATCCCCAGCCAGCTAGGCGTGGTATCTCTGCCCCCGCAGCAGCTCTGATTCTAGGAAGAGTTGGAGACTGGATTGGGGGTGCGCTCTGCCAGCAGCCATCTCTAAGGGGGCACTCTGCAGTGGAGAACCCGAGCCCTGGCTTTTGCTGCTGCTGTGGCTGTAGTCACATTAACCTCTTTTTTTAAAAAAAATTTGATTTATCTCTTTTTTTATTTTTTTGAGACAGGGTTTCATATAGCCCAGCCGGTTTGGAGCTGCCAATATAGCTGAGGATCCTCTTGTCTTCCACTGTCCAGGCGCTAGGGTCACAGATGCTTGCCACCAAACCTGGCTGGCCATTTTGACATCTCTGAATTTGTTTCTTTGCCCAGGAGGGGACGAAGAGCCTCTAACCCAAAGGGCTATTTACAGAGTAAACTCCACGGTTGGGTGACTGAATAAACGTGAGGTGTGACTGCCTCCACCAGCACAGTTGGGCCCTATCTGGAACCTTCTGTCTGTACGTGCAGCAGAAAAGCTAAGGGAGGCTGCTGGGTTGGTAGGGAGCTTTGGAGGCAGTGGAAGGGCTGCCACTGCCTCCAGGGAAGGGGCTGTCACAGGACATATGCCTGGGTGCTCAGGACCAAGCTGCAGGTGGGCACAATGGGGGATGGGCTGAGAAAAACCAGGCAAGACAGCAGGCCACTCATCTCAGTAGGGAGGTAACAGGAGGGCGAGACAGGCACCCATCCTCATAAAAGGTCCAGCTTGACATCCGTTTCCTGGGTTGAACCGTTGGATCACGAGCAGAGGACTAGGACATGGAGGAGAGCAGGGCTCAGCACTTCCAGCTGTTCAGAGTGGCCTGTCACAGCCCCAGGGGCAGGGACAGAAGACAAGGCCCACAGGATGGAAACATGACCCAGAGAGGCAGGCCCTTTTGATACACCCAGGTCTAGTGGTCCCGCCATGTTTGAAGATGAACGAGACCCCAGGGACAGAGGGGGCTGGGCAGCTGGGGTTGGTGAGTAATGACTTCACTTGGTGAAATTAACTTTTCCAAGTTCATTGCTCGGCTCTCTAGAGCCCATGTCCAATGTGGCAGGCTGGTGGGGTAGGCAAGGGGACAGGACGAGAAGCATCAGATGAGCATAGGACATGTAGGGACTCTCTTCGCAACCCTCTTCATTTAAAGGACGGGGAGGGGAGGGGAAGGATGAGAGAGGGACTGGGTATCATTCACCAGGGCCTCTACCTTTTCACTCTCTGAATGGGGTGGTGAGATCAGCCGGTGCCTGGTTGGTAGCAGAGAGGAACCCATGAATAATGCAGGCAGGAGCCAGGCTTCTATAAAATGGTTACCATTTCATCAAAGCAGCGAACGTGCCTGGAATGCCAATCGGAGGGAGGCGGGGCTACAGCATCAGGGTGAGCTCGGGCTGCCCTTGGGACACCAGGCTGAGGGAGCTGATGTCTCCGCTCCTCCTCTGTGTGACATCTGCAGCAGCCCTGGACATTTCAGCTGGGCAGAATCAGAATCGCCAAAGTCTACTAAGGAGGCAATAGCGTCGGCAGGAGAGGAACTTCCTCAAGGAAATGGAGGGGGCTTCCAGAGATGGGTGTGTGGGGGGGGGGCAAGACATGGATGGATGGACCAATGGGTGGATGGGGCTTGGATGGCTATCCTTGGCTACATATCCAATTGAAGGCCAGTCTTCAACTGAACTGCCTTAAAAATAAAAATCTTAAAAGGCGGGATTCGATTACTCATGGTTAGAAAAGATCTCCCCCTACTGATGGAGCTACTTTGCCCCCAAGAGGCAAGAGAGGAGCTCTTGACAAAGCCCTCAGAATGGTATGCCTACACATGTCCCTTGAGTTCCATGGGAGGACTTTTTTTTTTTTTTTTTGTCTGAGACAGGGTTTCTCTGTGTAGCCCTGGCTGTCCTGGAACTCTGTAGACCAAGCCATCAACTAGCTCAGAGATCTGAGTCTGCCTCTGCCTCCCAAGTACCAGGATTAAAAGCATGTGTCCCCATTGCCGGGCTCTGTGGACCAATCTTAGACAAGAGCACCTTTGAATATTAGCTACCTGCGACACTGTCATCTCATTGCCGTGGAACATCAAGAACCCCATGTAGGGCTTGGTGTCCAGACCCAGTGGTCCCATTATAATTTGGGGATGGGACTGCAGGGCGCGTTCTAAGCCGTTGGAATAGCCTGGGTGCAAGGGACTGGCAAGGCAGAGGCCCCTACTAGAGCGGAAGGCTCTAGAGGCCTTCAGAAAACACAAGTGGCCATTCTTGATGACATGTTGGATGACAGGGGGAAAAGGAGCATTAAACGTAGCCCCCAGGTTTCTGATGTGGGTGGTCGGGGGTGGGGCGGGGGTTGAGTTGCATCCGGGAGAAGTGCTAGAACCTCTGAAGCAGGATGGTGGTGTTGCCAAGCTGGACCCTGTGACTGTGGACAGACAGGTGGTCCTGCCTTAAAGGCCACCCGAAAAAAGGGGCCAGATGAAGAATGGATTATGGCAAAGTTCTTCCAGCTGTGGGTAGTTCCGTTGCTCGGGCAGAGGGGACCTTATTAGCTTTGGCTCCTGAGTCTTCGTGAAGCCAGGGCATTTGAGATCTTTTCTCTTTGCCTGCAGGTGAACCTTTGGGCTACTGCTGCTGCTGCTGCTGTTTCTGTGGGTACGGTTTCCCGTAGGAATGCCCCAGGAGAGAAACTCTTTCCTCCTCCCACCTCTTCCGATGCCAGCAATGAGCCCCGAGGGGCATGCACATGTGGGTGCTCCCAGCAAACTCCCATGGGTGGCCCCGGGGTGTTGCTCGAGGAGGTGGGATGACACAGGTGGAGTGCAAACTCTCAGGGGGCTTTCCTGTGGTACCCAGCTCCTGGCACCACCCCCAAACAGCACGAACTTCATCCAACCGTAGAGGCAGAGAAAGGCTCAGAGAGGCAGCTGGTAACTGGCCTAAGCTAGGGAAAAAGAGAGCACAGAGATGGAGTGAAGGCAAGAGGGAGCCCAGAGGACAGGAGATGTTACAAACCAGTGGGAAGGTAGGGGAGGTGGCCCTGGGATCTGGCAGGAGGCAGAGGGAGGGCCCCAGTGACTGAGGAAGATGGGTGGATGCCAAGTCCAGCAGGAAGTAGAGGAATTCAGGTCAAAAGAGTGCCTGAGGGTCTAGTAGATAAATATCACTTATCCACATAGGCCTCATTCTTTGCTGTACTGACGACGGTGCTCTAGGGAAGCCCTGAGATATAGAGAAGGAACACAGTCCAGCTGGTGCTGGAGGAGTTCCCCAGAGTGGGTGGAAGGCAAAGGCAGGACAGGCGCCCAGGAAATAGCCTCCTGGCTCAGTCTGGAAGGCTGTGAGTGTGGGGACAGTGTCCCGGAGATGGTGGGCCCTAG